CAAATCACTTTTAGTATACTTACCAACTAGTACAACCATCACCACCACCTAATTCCAGAACACTTTTATCACCCCAAAAAGAAACCCCATGCTTACTAGCAATCATTCACAATCACTTCCTCCGCTATCCCCTGACAGAAGGATTAGTCTACTTTTTATCTCTGGATTTGCCTTTTCTGGACATTTCATATTAATGCAATCATACAATAGGACCTTTTGCATCTGGCTTGTTTCATTTAGTATAATTAAAACATAATGTTCATCCATGCTGTAGCATGTATTTCTTTTTATGGCTGAATAATAGTGCCTTGTATACTACATTTTGTTTATATATTCATCAGTTTATAGTCATTTGGGTTGCCTCCACCTTTTTACTCTTAAGAATAATCCTATTATGAACATTTGTGTACAAGTTTTTGTGTGAATATATGTTTTCATTTCCCTTGATATACCTAACAGTGGAATTGCTGATTATACGGTAACTCTAACTTTTTGAGAAACTGCCAAACTTCTTTAAACAACTGCACATTTTACACTCATACCAGAAGTGCAGGAATGTGCCAATTTCCCCATATTCTTGCCTTGTTATTTTTCCTGTTTTATTTTAATTACAGCCATTCTGGTGGGTGTGAAATGTATCTCATTATGGCATTGATTTACATTTTCCTACTGACTGATCATGTTGAACATCTTTTCATTTGCTTATTGGCCATTTGTATATCTTCTTTGAATAAATACATGTTCAAATGTTATGCCCATTTTTAAATTGGGTTATTTATCTTTTTATTGTTGCATTGTAAGGGTTATTTACATCTTCTGGATATACTATTTGATCCTATTTGATCTTATGAGGAAATTATGATTATCCCCATTTTTGTTTTTAAAGATTTTTGCCATAGGGAGTGTGTGCTTTCTGAAGAAAGACAGAGAGGGAAAGTGAGAAGTCACTCCAATGGGGGATAGCCACATCACAATCCCCTCTTCTCCATTCTCCTCTCAGGATTTTGGGCACAAACACACACATACCTGGCGTCAGTTTCAAGCCACTGGTTCCAGGACTCAAACCACAATCAGCCATGTGGGAATCCAGCACCTTAACCACCACACCACTGGCTGGCTCCATATGCCTTGTTATTTTTGCTGGGATTCAGGCATTTGAAAGAACCGCAACCTCTCTCCTACTCTTTACAGGCTTTATGCAGGAGAAGACCTTCACTAAGCACAGCCAGAGATTCCTGGGCCTCACATCTTTTCTGGTTTTGTGCATGTAATTTTCCAATGGGAGAGGTTCACCAGGTTTTTTTCATGAACTTATCATTTCTTGCTCTCTCTAGTGTCTGTCTGCAGTACAACAGATTCTCTGGGCTATACCAAGCAACAGAGCTCTCCTTTGTTCTCAGGAATGTCTAAATATCCAAAGTATGCTGGTTCTCCATCAGCACCCAAAGTCAGACAAAACAGGAACCAGTCCCTTGGGAAGGCTCCTCAAAGGCCAAAGTATTGATCATTTGTTTCATCCTTCTCTTTCCTTCCTAAGGGAGAAGCCAGAAGTCGGGCATTTTTCCTTGTTCATACTGCACTGTTCTGGCTTGTGGAGGAAGGACTATCATGGGTGAAAACAATGGCTTCTTTACTGGTTTTAATTGAGTTGTTTTGGGCTTCGCACTTGTCTGGGACACTATAATTTCTTAATTGGTTTCTAGAGTTCTCACAAAGGCTTTTTGAACTGTGTAATATTAATAAGCCAGTGTCTCTATAGAAAGAACAAGATCTGTGTCTTTCTAGTGCACATCTTGATCATATCAACTTTTTTTTAAAAAAAAAGAATTATTTGATCTTACTTGTCACAATCATTTTTAAAAATTTGCTACAGGGCACATGTGCTCACCAGAGAGAGACAAAGAGAAGGAGAGAAGGAAAGTGAGAAAGCAAGCCACCAGGTCCGGGACTCTTACCGTGGTCAATTGAGTTGTTTTGGGCTTCGCACTTGTCTGGGACACTATAATTTCTTAATTGGTTTCTAGAGTTCTCACAAAGGCTTTTTGAACTGTGTAATATTAATAAGCCAGTGTCTCTATAGAAAGAACAAGATCTGTGTCTTTCTAGTGCACATCTTGATCATATCAACTTTTTTTTAAAAAAAAAGAATTATTTGATCTTACTTGTCACAATCATTTTTAAAAATTTGCTACAGGGCACATGTGCTCACCAGAGAGAGACAAAGAGAAGGAGAGAAGGAAAGTGAGAAAGCAAGCCACCAGGTCCGGGACTCTTACCGTGGTCAGCCATGTGGGAGTCTAGTGCCTTAACCCCACACTGCGCGCTGACCCCAATCCTTAGCCTTTTTGAGTTTGGGGTCTTTGACAATGTGATGTAAACTGTAAACCTTGTACCTAAAACAAAACAAATACATATGTAAAATATGATTAGATATTTGAGAGAGTTATATGCCCTCATACACACACGATTATATAGCTATTTGTATACCTCGGTTTAAACATTTTGATACGGTTTGTAGTAAAAGGTTAAATCAGCAGGGTTGGGTTACTCAAACCCTGCACGTCCCAAAGAAAGGACTGGTGCTTGACCAGTTCCTGGAAGATAACCCCCTAAAGCTTAGGATGTCCTGCTTGATATGGCATATGCCTGAGGGCTTGTGCTACATTGTATCCATGTGACCAGATATATTATTATCAACAATGTGACTTATGGTGAGCACTTTTTTTGGGTCTCCCTGAAAATCCTGTGTGGAAAAGTATCAGTTTGACTTCTGTGCAGCTGGAGAGTGATAGACCAAGGTCATTTACATTTGGGTTACATGTTTGTGTGACTGACCTCTAGTAAAAAGTCCTGGACATGGAAGGTCAAATGAGCTTCCCCGGCTGACAACACTTTGTACATGTTGTCACATCATTGCTGAGAGAATTAAGTGTTATCTGTGAGACTAGCAGAGGACAGGCGTGTGCTTAGTTTCTCTTGGCCTTTACCATACACACCATTTCCCTGTGCAAGAACAGCCTTTTCCAAGTCCTGTGAGTCCTTTTGGTGAATTATTGAACTTGAGGGTTGTCTTGAGGACCTCCAACACACAGTAAGAATGACTGATGTTGAGCTGTACCCACTGAAGTATTAGTTCACACACCTCTCAGTACCCAGAGCATAACTTCACTCCAACAAACATTTAGTAAATGCCTATCATTTGCTAAGTGCTAGGAAAGTACATAGACTCAAAGATACATAAACTCATGGTTTGGGCTACAATCTTGAAATGGGCCTTTTTTATATTTTAAATTTTTTTTTTTTTGGAGAGGTTTTCGCTACAGGGTGTGTGCACTCACCAGCCAGACAGAGACATAGAGACAGAAAGCGAGAAATCACCCCCCAGGGTGGATGGTCACGTCATAATCCCTTCTCCTCCATTCTCCTCTTGGGATCTTGGGCATGCACGCACATGTGCCCGGCATGAGTTTTAAGCCACCAGGTCCAGGACGCAAACCGTGGTCGACTACGTGGGAGTCCAGCAACATAGCCATTACTCTAACTGCTGGTTCCCTAAATTTAATTTATTTATTTATTTATTTATTTTTTAGGTTTTTGCAATAGGGTGTATATGCTTGCCAGAAACACAGAGATGGAAAGTGAGAAATCACCTTCACAAGGGGATGGCCATGCCGCAATCCCTTGACCTCCATTCTCCTCTCAGGATTTTGGGCATGCACACATATACACACACATGCACACACACACACCCAGCATGATTTTCAAGCTGCTAAATCCAGGACTCAAACCACAGTTGGCCATGTGAGAGTCTAGCACCTTAACCACCAAGTCACCTGCTGGCCCTGACATGAGCCTCTTCAGCCTTCTAAATCTAAGCGGTAGAAATCATGTATATAAGATGTATTCTTTTCTTTCTTGTTATTATCATTTTCTCTCACCTAACACATCATTCTATAGCTTATTCTTCTGTGTTCTATGTCAGGCCATACTTAAAGGGAATACTTTACATTTGCAAAGTAATGACTTTTATGTTTTAATTTTTGCAGTTAGTATGTTTTTAAAAGTCAGTGCTATTGAGGTATAATTTTTTAAAGACATTTTTGCTATAGGGTGTGTGTGCTCGCCAGAGAGCCAGAAAGAGAGAAATCACACACCACCCCCCTCTCTCCCAAGAAGGATGGCCAGGCTGTAATAGTCTCTTCTCCTCCATTCTCCTCTCTGGATCTTAGGCACACATGCACACGCACCCAGCATGAATTTCAAGTTGCTGGGTCCAGGACTCAAACCGCTGTTGACTATGTGGGAGTCCAGTGACGTAACTATTACACCACTTGCTGATCCCAAAATATACATTTTTTAGAGGTTATTTATTGCATGAGTAAAAGAAACAGGAGGTACAGCATCCCTGACAGGGCCCCCACACTGTGATCTACCCCCAGCCTTAGTAAGCCCTGGATCATGGGCATGCACATGTCCAGCTACTCAGGCAGGTCTCTGGATACAAACCAGTAACCTTTCCATGTGTGTTTGCCTTGCAGAGCAACAGTTTTACTGCTTCACCACCATCCAGCCCCTGAAGTATAATTTATATATGATAAAACTGACCCCTCAGGCTAGCCCTGTAACATAGTTGTTAGGTGCTGTACAGCGGGAGCAGGAGCCCATGTGGCCAACTGCATTTTGAATCTCGGCCCCAGTGGCAACATGCCAGGCACACACGCCCAGGATCCTGACAGAATAGAGAAATGGAGGAAGGAGGATTACACTGTGACCAGTCCTCTGGGGGATGTTTTCTTTCCCTCTCCCTCTCCCTTTTTTTATTCTCTCTGGGATTGCACAAGCATCCATTGGCATTGAAAATAAATTCATCCAGTATAAGTATACAGTTCTGTGAGTTGTGAAGAATGTATACAGTCATGTATCAACACCCACATCAAGATACAGAACATTTCTTTTTCCTTTTTTTTCTCCCTGGAGTGACTGGCCACACCACCATCCCTCTCCTCCACTCTCCTCTTGGGATTTTTTGGGGGCAAGCACATATACACACCTGGCATGTTTTCCAAGCCACCTGGTCTGAGACTCAAACCGCACAGTCAGCCACATGGAATCCAGCTGCCTTAATCACCACACTACCTGCTGGCCAAGATTAATTGGAGAGAATTAACATCTTTACAATACTAAATCTTCTAATCCATGAACAAGGGAGTATCTCCCCATATATTTAGGTCTTTAATTTCCCTTAGCAATGTTTTGTAGTTTTTGGTGTAAAGATCTTGTGCTTATTTTGTTAAATTAATCTCTAAGTGGTTCATGTTTGTTGATACTGTTGTAAATATTATTTTTATTTTTATTTTCAGTTTTTCACTGCTCATATAAAGGAAATACAATAGGTTTTGTATATTTATATACTTTGTGTATATTTTATATTAACAATAAATAATATGCTGGGCCAGCTTCATGGCCTAGTGGTTAAGGAAGTCAGATCCCACAACTGTATGGTCCAAATCTTGGCCCCAGGACTTCAGAAACGCACTAGGTATATGTATGTGCATGCCTAAAATCTGAATGGGTGGAGATATGAAAGAGAAAGGATTGTGGCATGACCATGCTTTATTGTGTGTGTGTGTGTGGGGGGTTGTTCCTCTCTCTCTCCTTCCCTTTCTGTCTCTGTGGTACACATGTGTGCCTTCTGGCAAATAAAATAAAATTATTACATAATTTATATATATGTTTATATCTTTGTTTATTTTTAAATGAAGCTGATACATCCTTTTGAAATTGTCAAAAGGTTATATGTTCTGGTTACTGATTCTTTAAATTTTATGTTCCTTTGACTTCATGTTCTTTTAAATATGTGTGCCTCTCCCATTTGTTTGAACAAACATGAAAACATTCATAAAATGCTAATATTGGAGGCCAGCCAAATACTGGTGGCATGGTGGCTGGGGTGGCTGGATCCCACATGGCCAATTGCTCAATTTGAGTCCTGGATCAGTGACTTGGAAAACACACAGGGCACATGTGCATACATGCCCATAATCTTGAGAGGGAGCTTGAGGGAGAGGGAATTGTGGCATGGCCATCCCCCCCCAGGGAGTGATTTCACGCTCTTCATTCTCTCTCTCTAGTGAGCATGCATACTCAATGGGAAATTAAAAAAAAAAAAAAAAAGCTCAATACTTTGACAAGTGCAACCCTGCATTATAGGCATTATTATTATTATTATTATTTTTTTTTTTGCTTTTGCGTTTGCTTAAAGTGACAGGGTCTGGCTATGTTGCCAGGCTGGCCTCAAACTCACAATCCTCCTACCTCGGCCTCCTAACTAACTGGAATGGTTGTACATGCCACCACACCTGGCTTATTGTCTCAATTTAAAGATGAGAAAACAGGCCCAGCTGGTGTGGCATAGCAATAACACAGTACTCTGCAAGGCTGGAAGCCACATGGGCAACTGCAGGTTCAGATCCCCAGGTTGGCCTGAAAACACACTAGGTATGTATACGGGTGCTCAGGATCCCAAAGAGCTGAAAGGCTAGGGAAGGGAATTGCAGTGGGAAAAGATCCTGTCGAGGGTGTTTTATTTTCCTCTCTCTCTCTTTCACGCATGTGTTTGCACGCAAGCTTTTTGGTCATAAAAAATGAAAACAAGGCCGAGGAAATAGAGATGTGGAAAAATTAAATTATTTGCCAATGTCCCATGGCTAATAAATAGTAGATCTAAGATTAAATCTTCGGCTCTGGTTTTGAGCCCATGCTCTAAATCAGCAGTTCTCAAATGTTTTGGTCTCGGCACCCCTTTACACTCTTAAAAATAACTGAGCCAGAACATTTATGTACGAAGTCACTAGAATGTCTAAAAAAATCTCTTTTTAAATTTCATTGTTTCTTTATTTTGTCCATTAGTGAGAGAAACAGAGACAGCATCCCAATAGGATCTTCACACTGTAATCCACCCCCAGCCTCAGCCAGCCCTGGATCATAGTTATGAGCTTACCAGGTATTCTCAGGGAGACCTCTGGACTCAAACCTGGAATCCCACCATATGGATCATAGAGTATTGCACTTTATTGCTGTGCCACTATCCAGCCCTATTCCAAGAAATCTTGATGAAAAAGTTAAAGGACTTAACAACCAAATTGCAGGGTTTACTATAAATCAACAGAAATGAAAACGAAGTACTTCTTGGAGGACCAGCAGTTAGCGTAATGGCTATGTCGCTGGACTCCCATGTAGTCGACTGTGGCTCGAGTCCCAGACCTGGCAGCTTGAACCCACATCAGGCGTGTGTGAGTGAGTGCCCAAGATCCCGAGAGGAGAATGGAGGAGAAGGGATTGTGGCGTGGCTATCCCCCCGGCGGGTGGTGGTGATGATTTCTTGCTTTCTGTCTCTCTTGTCTTTCTGGCGAGCGCACGCGCCCTATAGCAAAACAAAAACAAAAACAAACAAACAAGCAAAAAACCAAATTACTTCTGGGGACCAGCAGTTGGCGTAATGGCTGTCGCTGCATCCCATGTAGTTGACCACGGCTGGAGTCCCGACCCAGTGGCTTAAACTTACACCGGGCGTGTGTGCATGGGTGCCCAAGAAGAGAATGAAAGAGAAGGGATTGTGATGTGGCCATCCCCCCTGGGGAGTGATTTCTCACTTTCTGTCTCTCTATCTCTCTCTCTCTCTTTCTGGTGAGTGCATGCGCCCTCTAGCAAAAACCTCATAAAAAAATGTTGGAATAGTTCTCTACATGGAAACCTAAACCTAAACTGCTGAATTTATTATCAAATAATGCTGTAGTGGTTTATGTAATAATCCTTACCAAGCTGCAAAAAAGTCATTCTTAAACTATAATGTGTGCAATATTTAAACTCACGGGTGTGTGTGCGCACACGTGCCCAGAATCCCAAAAGGAGAATAGTGAAGAGATTGCAGCGTGGCCATCCTCCCTGGGGGGGGGGGGGGGGCTTT